CCTCTGCTAGCCAGGCCCCAACAAGATATGCATTCTTCCATGGAGTTACACAGACTTCACCACTCCTGCTCACTGAAGGCTCTGCCTTGTCCAGCAGATACTCTGCCTTTCTTTTCATCAGCTACAAATGTGATATCCATAAGCAAACTACTGTCTACTCAAGAAATATTAGGATTGAGTGTTTTGATTACCTTTTCTATGTTTTTTTATTGAGTAAATATTGCAACCCTAAGGTTTTAACCTCTCCACTACATCATGTCTTTTAGTTGCTTTTGCTAGTCCCTTTCACTCTTATTTCAAAGACCATTTTCTCTTCTAAATCTTTGCAGAAAAACATTTGTTCAGGTACTTTTTCACTGAGACATTTGATTGCAGCACATGGTAGTGTATTGATCACATATCATAAATTTTCAAGTTAGCTTTATCAAACATTGTCCTCTCATCTGGGAAGAGCTCCGTATCTTTTTGTTGTTGAACGTATTCTAAATTACTTGGCTAAATATGTAGAGTGCTTAGAGAACGAAACACATGAGAAAAAAGTAACAAACTATAGTCTCTCTACTCCTCTGAGCATTGTATAATCGTTCACACTTGTGTGAAGCAAATGTGGATGCTATTAGAACACTGACAGTATCTTTTAAGAGTTTAATGCAAGGTTTAAATTATACTGTGAGATAAACATACACTGGAGCATAGCTCCAGAATCAGCTCAATCTCACATGGGCAAAACAAGGTCAGATCAAAGACTTTTTCCTGCATTGTCAAGAGCATTTAAACACCTCCCCTTCACTGAACTAACCCTGCAACGTGCAGTTTTACACAAATTCATCTAAAATACATTTGTCAGATGAAATAAGACTTTTCTTACGCTTCTACTTGAAAATTTATGCTCATGCAGCAACTTTTTACAACTTTTAAAATCATTTTCGCTTTAATGAAAAAAAACCTAGGTTTTACTGCAATAATTTAATTCACTGTGTGTTTCTACAGCTTTTTTTCCCCTTTGTTCTTTCTGCTTTCAGTTTAAAGGATCTCATCCAAAGCGAAGATGTTAAACCCAAGCTGCAGTACATCATGACTAACCCTTCCTTTTCTATGGTAACATGTCAAAGTGAAGACAGTGGGATAACCTGGGAAACTAGCTCGAGCAGATGTTCTACTCCCTGGACCTCAGAAACTAGTACAACTTCTGACCTTTACAGCATGGAAAGTTCACCAGTAGGTTCTCCTCCAGGAAAAGTCATCTTTATTATGGATGAAGGTAAGATAGTTCGGAAAAGGACACGCAAATCTTCAAGCAAGGTGCCAATGGCTATAAACCTGAAGGGAGGCCAGGGCAATAAGAAACGCGACTCTTCTGGAATGCAGAGGCAGGAACCAAGAACTGTTCTAGCAGATGTGCAGTCCTCTGTGCTGAACGTTGAGCCAGTGGAAGCACAAGAGACAGATGAGGAAATGTCGGACAACAAAGAAGACCTAGAGGATGTTGCAGAAGAGCCAGTGAAACGTGCTCCCATAAGATCAATATTTAGGGAGAGCAGATTGAGAAAAGTCGGTCCAATCCTTGGAGGACCTGTGCAAGCTAGAATCCGGCTGTTCAATTCAATTTTTGGCGGGGGTGAGCCACCCCCTGACACACCGGAGAAAAGCAGAAGCCGGAGAAGTAGCTCAGTTTCAGGAGATTCTGAGCAGTTCCTTGAAACATCAGTAAGAGAGAGATTGCAGAAGTTCAGTTCACTCTCAGAAGCAGCACGTCCAAAACCATTTCTGGGAGCGAGAAGTAAAATACTTGAAACACCATCAGAAAGAAGAAGGAAGCATAGAGAACAACTCGCAGCACAGGCAAATCAAAGCATTTCTTCACCAACATCACCTCTTGGAAAACAGCTTGCCAAGAAAGATGATGTTTCATCTGAAAATATTGAACCCATTAAAATGAAAGAATCAACAATTCATCACGAAGAAAGAAAAAACAGACACTCACTTTTGGAGACTCCAGATCAGGTATCAGGACATTCACCAAAGTCCTTCCCTCCTGTAGAAGCCAGGAAGCAGCAAAGTCATTCACCTGAGGGCAAAACATCAATAACAGAGCCAGTAAGCTCCATGTCATTAGAGACTGACGAGAAACACGCGCTGCTTCCCTCAGCTGAAAACGCAAACAAGAAGCCAGACCAATCCCTGCTGACAGCATCAGGTCATCTGGATGAACCAAAGAAACAGGAATTTCAGCCCAGTTCTGCACCAGAGCCTGTTTCAGCAGATTTTGTTAATGAATTAGATAGGGAAAATACCCGGGATGTTTTGCCTACAGCATCTGTGTCAGAACATCCTGAGAGGGAAGCACAGAAGTCTTACTTACCTAGTGCTCCATCAGCTAAATCCAAAGATTTAGCTGAAACAGTTAAATCCAAAGATTTAACTGAAACAAGACAGGAGGATGTTATCCCTCAGTCATCAGAAACTGCACAATCTGAGCCTGAACATGTGCTTTCACCAGATTCTGAAGATGGCATAGAGAAGCAAGAAAGTGAGTATCACTCATCAGCTGCACCATTAGGATCTGAGACTTCAGGTCTGTCGTATTCTGCTGAAAGAAAGCAGTGTCAAACACCACCACCCTCGGAAACCCAAAATGTTCATTTGGAGAAACAAACAAAGTCCAAACAAGACCTTTCCTCCCCTCTTCAAGAAACAGATGGGCAAGGAATTAAACGAAAACCACCAATTCCTGAAAATATAGACTCTAAATATTTTGGCAGTTCATATCCTATTCACACAGAAACAGAAGAAACTCAGAAAACCTCAGCTATAAATAAGGCAGTAGATATTGATCATTTTGGTCCTACCATTGAAAAAGATAAACAAACAGAAAGTGCTCAAATGGAGATGGAGCATTCATATTTCCCACATACCAGCGAAGACATTGGGGAATCGGAGGCAACACAGGTGGAGACAGAGCATCTGGATTTCTCTTCTTCCAAGGTAGACACAGAGGAATCTGAGGATGCACAAATGGAGATGGAGCACCCAGACTTTTCTTTTTCCAGGGAAGAAATGGAGGAAACAGAAAGTGCACAGCTGGAGACAGAACATCCAGATTTCTCATATTCCAGGGAAGAAACAGGGGAGTCAGAGAGTGCAACAGTGGAAACAGAATATCCAGAACTGCTTTTTTCCACAAAAGAAACAAAGAAATCAGAGAGTGCACAGATGGAGATGCAGCATCCAGACTATTCATTTTCCAGGGAAGAAGTGGAGGAATTGGAAAGTGCGCAGCTGGAAACAGAGCGCCCAGATTACTCATATTCCAGAGAAGAAGTGGTGGCATCTGAAAGCACACAGCTGGAGATGGGTCATCCAGACTTTTCTTTATCCAAGGAAAAAGCCAAGGAATTGGAAAGTGCACAGCAGGAAATGGAACATCAGGTGTCTTTATTTTCCAGGGAAGAGACAGCAAAACAAACGTCTGACCATGCTGAACTGGAACAGCCAGAGCCGAACTCCCCTGAAGAAGCAGAACAAGAAGAAAAGGAAGAGCTTGCGCCATTACCTTCAGACTTATCATCTTTGATGCAGGAAGCAGAGAAAGAAAACACTACAGAACCTCAGTTGGAGCATCCAGATAGATTTGATTCCACCAGAAGAGCTGAGACACAGCAAACTGGTCATCTGGAAACAACACTTTCAGATTTACCACATCCCATGAGTAAAACAGAGCAGCGAGAATTGTCACAAGCAGATGCAGACAATTCTCATACTGTACATTTCAGAGAGAAAGCAGAACAGCCACAGCCTGTACAACCTGGAGGAAAGCTGGATCCCTATGCCAAGGAAGTGCAAGGAGCAACTACTCAACTTCAGTCTGAGGATCCAGTTTGGTCATATTCTACTGGAAAAGAACAGCAAGATAAAACCTCACAGCTGAGGGCAGAACAGCCAGAGACAACATCTTCTGCTGGCAAGATGAAACAACATCAGGTATTGCAACCAAAGGTGGAACAAGCAGATTCACCATTTTCCCAGGGAGAAACAGTACAAGAAGCTGTACAAAGAAACTTAGAAGGACCAGAGCCATCAGGTTTCATTAGTGAAACAGAGCAACATGAAACTGTACAACTAGTTTCAGAAAATAGGGATTTTACCACTGGAGAAGTAATGCTGAAAGGAGCAGAGTCAAGTTCTGTGGAGTCACATTCAATGGACAGAGCAAAGCCCTGGGAAATGACACAAATGGAGCAGAAGGAGTCTCTTCCCTCCCATTCCACTGCTGGTACTCAGCATCAGGAAACACCACCAATGAATGTGTCCCAGCCAGATGTATCACATGCCTCCGGCAGAAAGGAACAACGAGATACAGTACAACGAGAGCTGAAACAGCAGGAAACAGACCAACAAGAAGCTGTGCAAATGGAAACAGAGTGCTCAGATTTGTCAGAAAGCTGGGGCAAAGAGGAGCCACAGGTCACAGAACAAATTAGTTTGGCACAGCAAGAGAAAGCTCAACCAGGGTTAGTGCATCCCTCTTTGCCACATTCTTTCGATGAACAAATGCAAGAAGAGATGGAAACAGAGGCATATCCAGAACAGACATTTTATGGAAGTACAAAAACACAGGAGGAAATGACACAAGAAAAATCAGAAGAACCAGTTCTTTCACATTTTACTGGCAAAACAGAGCAACAAGAAATGGTACACCCAGAGCTGGAGCGAACATTTTTTCCACCTTCCAGTGGAAACGAAGCTCCACTGGAAATGGAAACAAGTTCAGAACGTCCAGATTTGTCATATTCCTCTCATGAAGCCAAACAAGAAAATAAGTTGAAAAACCAAACCTCACCATTTCATTCAAAGCAACGAGAAACTGAGACAACCGCGATGGAACATCCAGAATTTTTGTTTGACAGTGGTGAATCAAAACCAGGTGACATTGTTGAACAGGAGTCAGGACATCCAGAGCTCTCATACTTCATGGGAGAAACACAACAACAATCAGAACATTTGGATTCACCAGGAACCCTGGGTGAAGCAAAACTAGATGAAAGTATGGAAGTAGAACCTCAATACCCAAATCTGCCATGTTCTGATGAACAAAGAAATCAGCAAGAAACTTCACAGCTGGACTCACAATACGCAGAGTTACCATTTTCCTTTGGTAAAGGCAAAGAACAAGCAACTGAAAAGTTTGAGTCTAAACATCAAGAATTGCCTAAAGTGGCCAGAAAAAGTGCTTCTCCAGCAACTGCTCAAAAAGAGTCAAAACATCCAGAAACTTCTTCACAGGAAATGAAGCATCCCAATTTGTCGCATTCCACTGATGAGACAAACCAGCAAGAAGCAGAATCATTGGATCAGAAACACAGAAAACTTTCTGTTGGCAGAGAAAAGCAGCAGCAAACCACAAAGCAGCAGTTACAGCAAGAAGAGTCACCATTTTCTCGAGGTAAAACAGAGCATTTACAACATGCCCAGGAGGGCTTGGAACAACCAGATTTATCATTTCCCATTGACAGGCCAGATGATGAAATGACAACACCAGAGGCAGAGCACACGGATGTGATATCTCCTCTGAACAAAGCAGAGGTGCAGCAAAGAGGACAAGAAATAAAGCAAACTTACCCCTTTGGAGAAGCAGAACAGAAAACAGTTCAGCCAGAAGTAAATATTTCACATTTGTCCCCACCTGTGAGTGCAGCAGAAGAAGCAGAAATGGCAGAACCAGGGCAGGGACATCCTGACTTGCCTTACTCTGTTTTCAAAGTAGGACAACTGAAACCTGAACACCCTGGTCTAGTATCTTCCCTCAACAAAGTGCAGGAAATGATCCAGATGGGGTTGGAAGAGTCAAGTGAGTGGTATGGTCATGACAAAATGCAAGAATTCCCACCTGCACAGTTGGAGCCAAGTCAGGCAGACTTGTCATCTGCTGTTGCTGAAGAGGGGCAACGAGGAATGGAGCACAAAGCCATGGGACACCCTAGTGAGGGACAGTCTGACAGCAGAGCAGAGCATCCACAAGCTGCTAAAGAGAAACAAGAAGCTCCTGATGCATTGTCTCATCATGGAAAAGTGGAGCAAAGAGAAATGGCAAAACCAGAGCCAAAGCATCATGATTTATCATATTCCATTAATAAACAAAAACCACAAGAAACTACACAACTAGTGGTAGGAAAGCCAGGTCTATCATCCTGGCCTGGCAAAACAGAGCAAGAACAAACTGCTCAAGAGGAGAAGCCACACTTGCCTTCTTTCCAAAAAGCTGCACAAGGTGAGAAAGCACGGACAGAACTGGGACATTCAGAGTTATCTCGTTCTGTCAGTGAGGCAGAACACGAAACTTTAAATGCAAAATCAAGCCGTTCAGATTTGTCTGCTGGCAGATTAGAACACCATGAAATCATACAGCCAGAGGCAGAAATAATGGATTTATCATGTTCTGTTGGTGAAACACAGCAAGCTCAAATTGCTGAAGGGGATTTGGAGTATCCAGATTTATTGCATTCCACTGGCACAGTACAGCAACAAGAAAAGACTCAACCGAAGCAGGAACAGAGAGATGATTTTTCATCATCTCTCAGCAAAGAAGAGCAATGGGAAGGTGCAGGAAGGCAGGCAGAACACTCTGAACTGCAGTGCTCTGTGGAGAAAACAGAAGGACTGCAAAATTCCCAAGCAAAATCAGAATATGCAGATTTGTCCTTCTCTGTTGGCACAGCAGAGCCTCATAAAACATCGCAGCCAGAGATGAAAGAACAGAGTTTGTTGCATTCTTTTGTCGAAACAAGGCCACCATGGGCTGCCCCACAGGAGTCTGAACATTCAGATGTCTTGGATGCCATGGGCAGAGTACAGCACATGGATTTGTCCTCTTCTGTTAGTGAAGAAAAACAAAGTGCACAACTGGAGGTAGGACAGGAGAGGGGAAGCTACGCCTTACACCCAGAGGAAACAGTACAACTAAGATTGGAACAACTAACGTTTTCAAGTCCTCATGGCACAGAAGAGCAACCAAATGCTTCCCCACTGGTAGGGAAATTCCCAGACTCCTTGTATTCCTCTGGCAAAACAGAAGAGCAGGACACTGCACAGCCAAAGTTGATGCCTTCTGATATTTCATATCCCACAGGAAAATCAGAGCAGTTGCAACCAGAACTACTGGAATCAAAACATCCAGATGTATCATACTCTCTTGGCAAAGTAGAAACTCATGGAATGAAGACACCAGATTCATCATACTCCTATGGCAAGGCAGAACATCCACAGACTGCCCAACTGGAGCATCCAGAGACACCATATTTCATAGGAGAAACAAAGTGGAGGGATGGGGCACAACCTGAACCACTGTGTGCTGATGTACAGCACTCTGATGTTAAAACAGAGCACCCAGGATCACCTTCCATACCATACACCTTTGTCAGGACTGAGGAGCAGGGAACTGTACAACCAGACTTCAAACAATCAGATTTATTAAGTCATACTGACAGAGCAGAAAAGCATGAAGTGGCCCCGGGGAGAGCAGGACATTCGGAGAAGGGAGACACTGGGGCTCCTTCGGCTCTAACTGCTCAGCTGGAAACTGAACAACAAGATTTATCATTTTCCACTGAGAAAGCAGAGAGGCAAAAAATTCAGCCATATTCAACTTTCCTTGAACAAACAGTGTCTGTGCCTTTGGATGCTTCACATGCTGTCTCTCAAACACACCCAGAGGGAACTCCAAAGTCTTCACCTGTAACTGGAGGTCTGTCCCCCACACATTTAGATTTATCTTACTCCCACAGTAGAACAGAGCATTCAGAAACTGCCCAGCCTGAGTCAGGGTCCTTCTTTGCAAGAAAAGAAGAAGAGAATGCAAAACATTTTCTACATTTGCCTGTGGGTGCAAAGTCAGAGGCTGAGCATGAAATTTTACCTGAAGCAGAGAGAGAACAGACTCCACATTACTTCCACACAGCTACACACTTAGAATCCGAACAATTAGGTTTATCGTATTCCACAGACACAGTAGAAACTCTAGAAAGTCAAGATTATTTAACTGTACCTTCAAAAATGGAGTCTGAGCCTTCAGTTCCTTTTTATTCTGCTGATGAAACATATCAGCAAGAAATTCCACCTTATTCAAAACCAGCCTCTGAATATTTGGTTCCCACACGGCCCCTTGCTGAACAAGAAAAGCAAAGCATGCAGCCACTTATCTCCCAGTCCATAGAGTCAGAGTGTAAACATGTTATTCCACTACATGATGGAAAGCAACTGCAAAAAGCTCAGCTCAGTTCACCTGAAATAGCAAGCTTGAAGACAGTGCACACACAAGACCAGAGCAAGCCAGAATCTCACTTGTTGGACACAAAATATTTGTCACCAGAGCGGCTAAGGAGTCTCCCCAAATTCACTAATGAGCAAGAAATGCAACCTAGTATGCAGACAGTGCCAAGGTCTGTGACCACAGAGTCGAAAGTGGCCACTGTAGCAGAGCAGCAGGCAGTGTCATCAGAGTCATTCGTACCTTTTCATACACTACCTGCAAAGTCAGAACCTAAAAAGTCTGTATCAGTGTCTTACACTGGTTATGAAGAGAAACAAAGTATTCCATCCTCTTTATCTGGTGTAGCAGGCATGCCTGGAAAGCAATCTAAGATAGCTTCAGGCGTCTTTACGGAAGGAGAGTTTAGACATGAAATGCAATGTTTGGAAGACCAAAAGCACACAACCTTGGAGCATCTGGGAGCTGTTTCATCAGATCTTGTTCGTGAAACTGTGACACACAAAACTCAGCATTATTCTGGTGAACAGGGCAGCCTTCCTTCAGCAGACATTAAGCACATTAGCTCTAGTGCTGATGAAAAGCAGGATCCAGATATTTCCTCTTTTGGGCTAGCTAGCTGGCTGGTAGAAGAGGTGAAAACTCACTCAATTAGTCCAATCAGGGCTGCAGATGTAGACAGGCAGGGAACTCAGCTTTCTCCAATTGAAGCTTCTGATTTTGGGTCAAAACAATTCCCAGCTGGAAGCTGCACAGAACTTACAGTTCATGGGGCTACAGAGAGTAAAGGACATACATTTAGCATTTCTGAATCAGTGTCAAGTGAATTTTCCCACAGGAAATCATCAGACACTAGTCCCAGAACACAAAGTTATGATCTGCCATCTCTGGTAGGAGATAATCAAGGTCCAGACAAAGTTCTGGTGCATGAAATTAGTACTATAAAGCCTACAAAAATGGAAGAAATGCAACATCTGGAGGTAATCAAAGCATCTGAAGTGCCTGAACCTTACCTAAGAGGAGAAGAGGAAGAAATGGAACATGCAAGTGCTGTAGAAGATAGTCATCATGGTCTGGAGACCACCGAAGAAAAAGACCTATTTAATATCATTTCAGAAGGTTATGAAATACTCAATATTCATGCTCCTGCCCATATTTCTTCTGTTGACCAAGAAGAAAGTAAGCACATGCCAGATAAACTAGAATACTTGGAAACAAGTCCTTCGTTTAAGAGCAGATTAGCTGGTGAGGGCCATAGAGCCTTAGCTTCTGGAAGAACCACAGAAGTTTCAGAAAGCTCAGTGTTGGGAAAGACTGCAAGCCATGAACTAACAGAATTGATCAGAAAAGATGATGTTGAAGAAACCGGAGAAACACAACAAGAAAATCCCCTGTTGCCAGAAAATCATAATTATGCAGTGCTGGATCCTAATAATGGTACGGCTGATATGGATTATTTTGAAAAATATACTTTGATTGATGACAAATCCCCAATTAAGCCACATTATGAAAGACCAAGTTCACTGTGTCCTGTGGCAGAAGATCCCAATGAACCTGTGGAAGAAGCCAAATCTTTTAAAGAAGGCCCTGAGGTAGAGACTTTGGAAGAGTTTTCCTTACTTGAGGATCTGGATGAAGTCTTTTATGGCACTGTGAAAGGAGAAAGCAAACCTCAGTCCTATGAAGATACTCAAAAACCTTTATCTCTGCAGAAATCTGTTGATTCCAGCAGTAAAAGCATTACAAATGTGGAAGATGAATGGAAGTCACCAGGGACCCCACTCTTTGATTCAGAAGAAGGAGTGCTAGAACGATCTCTCTTGTTCCCTACCACTGTTGCTGCAGTTAATCCAGAGCTCCTGGAGGAACCACCTGCTCTGTCATTTTTATACAAGGACCTCTATGCAGAAGCAGTAGGAGAAAGGACAAAGGATGAGACACCCTCTGATGAGGAAAGTGGTAATTCTAATGCATCTTTCCCCAGCAGAAATTCCGACACAGATGATGGAACCGGAATATATTTTGAAAAATATATCCTTAAAGATGAAATTCCAAGTAAGGCCATAGGGCCTCAAAAAGAACAGATTCCAGAGGATGAGTCCTTTAGTGGAGGAATTTCATTTCAGAGCTCAGAGTACAAAGAGGAGCAGGGGGCTGGTGATGTTCCAAGTGTCAGAACTGAGGTTCTGCCAGAAAGGGGTGTTGTGGAGAAAGGCAGAATCCATGTTGACAGTGATGTTCAAGCGACAATTTGTAAACCAACACATGCCATCCCTTTTGGAAGGATAACAGTTCTTTCAGGTGCAAGCACTGATACAACTGAACAAAGAGAAGAAGAAAATGTGCCTGTAGAAACAACTGAGGAGTTGCCAGAGCAGGCAAGTCAAGAAGCATATAGTCCACCGGTATGTTATCAGGGAGCTGCATATCAAGAAACTGGTAATAAGCAGGACGAACAGCATGACATAGCAGCAGTTCCTCAAATGGAAAAATATGTCCCATATGTCAGGGCTTTTGTTGAAGACAGTGTAGATGACCAATATACTGAGGAACATCTTCCCTATGTCCGTGCTATTCAGCAAACAGAGACTCCAGACTTGCAAAGAGAGGAGCAGCACCCTGATATTTATGAAGATCTTGCTGAGTCAATGGAGTATGATGTGATTACACAAGAAGAACTTCTGCAAGATGAAATATCATCTCAGTTTACACACGAGGAGCTATTGTTTGAAGACAGGGACTCTTTTGAGCAAGCTATTGATAGTTATGAATTTGTTAATGAGCCAGAGCAAAGAACACCGGTTGAGCTTGAAGATTCAGGCTTTGTGGTGATGTATCCTGAAAAATCAGCAACAAACATTCCTCAAGTTGAGACCCCACAAAGAGAATCTAAGAAAGCACAAGTAGACACATATTGTTACCACTGCAAATGCCCAATATCTGCTATTGACAAGCTTTTTGGAGAACATAAAGACCACGAAGTCACAACACTAGATGATGCTGCAGCAAAGATGAAGGTAAGAATTAATTTGAGTAAGAAAAGGTGCCTCTGAGGCTAATTTTTCCAGTCCTCTTGTCGACGAGAGAGACTTCAGAGAGCAGTTCAGAAGCTAAGTCGCAGTAAGATAAAATCCATTCCTAAACACCTGTTAGAGACCTTGAAGGAAGACTATCTTATTAAGGTATTCTCCGGAGTCTTAGGCTTGCTAAGCTGTTATTTTGGTTTGTTCAGAAGCTTGAATGGCCTTGTTTATATGTAGCTGTTACCAGACTTTACATCTTTCAGCTTTCTCACCTGTGTGAGTTTGTTCTGGTCTGCATATGTAGAGGGAGAAAAGGAGTGAATGTTGTTTCTATGAAAAGAAAACTCGAGTAACAGCAGCTCACTTCACTTGACAAGGTACAGAAACCCCTATATGTGGGGACCAGTATCATTATAAAGTGTTCCCTGTCCCAGTTACATGTGTTGGCTGCTTGGCGATGTTAGACAAACTACACAGTTTACGCTACACAGTTTTGTTGAAATGCCAAACTCATCTTCAGTTCATCCACGCCTACAAGGTGGGCCTAAGCTGGAGAGAGACTTTTTACAAGGGCTTGTAGTGACAGAACAAGGGGGATGGTGTTAAACTGAAAGAGGGCAGGTTTAGATTAGACATTAGGAAGAAAATCTTCACTGTGAGAATGGTGAGACATGGGAACTGGGTGTTCTGAGAAGTTGTGGCTGCCCCATCCCAGGAAGTGTTCAGGGCCAGGTAGATGGGGTTTTGAGCAGTCTGGTCTAGTGGAAGGTGTCCCTGCCTGTGGCAGGGAGTTGGAACTAGCTGGTCTTTAAGGTCCCTTCCAACCCAAACCATTCTGTGGTCCATGCCAATAGCATTTTAGCTGTAGCACAGGTAGGAGTTTAGCAAATCCTACTTCTTGCCACTATCTTGAAGCTGTACCACTTTAAAAGACAGACAAAATTCCCCTCCATTTCAGTAGCCTAGTCCTTTGCTGTCAATACTAGCGAAAATGCTTTTGTTTTGTGGAAGCTATTGCTCATTAGATTGCAGTTCAGGCTGTGAAAACAGCATGCAAGTGATAACTTACTTCTCCCATACCAGATTTGTTCATGTACAAGTATATAGGTGTTCTTGATTACCAGCTATTTACTCTCACCCCAGTATCTGAAAGGTAAGGTTTCTTCCTTGGCACACTTTTGGTTGATGGAAATACAGCTTTTGTGTCACGTCCCTTTAGTTCCAGGAGTGCTTGCATTGATGGTATTTGTTATCTTTATGTCAACTTCTTTGCATAAAAGAGACATTAAAAGGAAGAGGAGTCGTTGTGACAGCTTCAAATATCAGTGTTTACAAACTATCTCCATGGTGTGCAGATGTATGACATCAGACTTGCTCTTTATGTATGGCCATTCACACTTGACTTAGCAGTGATAATTAGCCACTAGTAAGTCAGTAATAAAGCCACAGACCCCAGCCATCCCTCAAATGTATCGTCGTTACAGTGAGTCAAGTTAAGCTGCAAATTAACATCCCATGATGTCACTCCCTGGCTGCAGAGCCAATATTAAATCTGGCCACAACACAGGTTTGGCATCACATGATTTCTAGCACTCAGAGCTGAGGTTACTCTGAGGCCGCATCTGTATATTTCTTGTTACTTCTGTGTAATTACTGAGAAGACATTAAGATAGGAAAACACTTGTTGCATGGGTTGGGTGTTTTGACATGAAAACTGTGAGGACACAGCTCCACGGTCAATGAAATGAGCTATGGATGGCACCTGCCAGATTTTATAGGCTATCCTGACAAACAGAACTCAGTCTCCAAATCTCTGTGGTTGGCCCAAATATTTATTAAGTGAGCTTTCAATTGCACTGTCCAATGTGACATTTGTAACTAATGGAGAGTCATACACTGGTTTTCTACAGATCTAGCTGTAAAATCTTGGTGTAATAAGAAGCTGCTGCCAAAGGAAGCTAACCTTGCTTTTAGATTTATGTCATCTAATTAAAACTAAGTAGCACCTGAGCAGATGGACAGCTTCCTTTCATAAAAGGTCAAGAAGGACTAAGGAAAAGTTCTGAGTTGTCACTGATGCCTGTTGTGCCTTGGGCTGCTTTTGTTTCCACATCTAATTCAACCAGTGATTTTGATGAACTCTCGTTTATAGGAAATACCTTTAAAATTCCAATTAACCCCCCCCCATGACACTGTATGATCTATTAGCTTCATAATTACCTTTGTTATCTTCCTTTTTATGGACTTGTTCCTGTGGTCTCTCAAGGACCCTCATGAGGCTCCGAGTACCCTCAGTGTCCAGCAAACCTGCATTGGAATTCATAGCTTTCAACAACTTGTATAGACACTCAGCACCTTGTCGGGGATTGAGCTCACTCTTTTTGGTTTGGAAACAGTTCTGTGACTTGTCCAGTTGCTATTTCTGTGCTTGTCTTTGTAGCCAGGGTGATGCTTGAACTTAATTTAGCAATTGTTCCAATGGTGGCTCATGGCAAAAGGAAAATATTCGCCTAAAATAAGCTGAGTGCAAAAACTTTATAGAACAATCTGCTTATATAAATGAAACGTTTTAAATTTCAGGATCAGCTAAGTGAATTGCTAATAGCACTAGAAGAAAAGTCAATGAAGATCGAAGCGTTTGTGAGTGATATTGAATTGCGATTTAACTCAGTTGAGGTAAGTCCAGGGTTTTATCACACTAGTTTCCTTTCCCTCTACAAGATTACTTCCAAGATACGCTTGCCTTGTTTTGTAGCATCATTTCTTCCACTGAAAAAAGCTATTTTCTCCAGTCCTCAAATTGACTTCTCCCACTGGAAGGTGTTAACTTTAGAGGAAGAAAAAGATTGCCTTTTTTGCACATTATTGCAAAGTGGAATGTGTAACTGCCAAGCACTGAAGGAAAAAGTTCCCTTCATTTTGTTTATGCTTATAAAAAGCTCACACTGTGTCTTTATTTAGAATCCCATGTGAAGCATCTAAATTAGTTGCCCAATGTCTTAAGTTCTGATTGTCCAAGTCCTTAAGCCTTGAGAACTGTATTAATTTCAGTTGTATGGATTTTTAGCTATTTTGTAGTCAGACTTCCTGTCTGAGTGCTTAAATATCAAAGTTAAATTTTAAACACTAACTGTAAAAAAAAAGTCTGTCTTTAAGTGCATTTCTCTAGTGATAGCTCTCCCAGAGGAGTTTGTTTGCAGAAATTAAGTTGCCTTATTGCCAGTAAGCCAGAATGAATCTGGTGGATGGGCAATTGAGAATTCCTGTGTTTTCATTAAATGTTGTGATTTTATTCAGCAGATCCATTTGCATCTGTTTTTATTTCATAGGAAAACTGTAAGAAAAATGCAGACCTACTGGAAAAGCAGAACGAAGAGATGCTTAAGAAAGTGGTAGCACAATATGATGAGAAATCAGAGAACTTTGAGGAAGTGAAGAAGATGAAAATGGAGTACCTGTATGAGCAGATGGTTAATTTCCAGCAAACTGTTGATTCAGCAAAGGAAACTTTGGAGACAACAGTAAGAGAAGCAGAAGAAGTCGATGGATTTGTATTCCTAAATGTAAGTAAAAATGGCTTTCGTGCTGTAGCTTTTATGATCCTACTTAGGAAAGGACTTCTTCTGTATCTAGGCTGGCAAGGAGTTATTTACCTTACTTTTTTTTAAGATGGCTGAATCCTGCAAGCTCAGCTCTTCCACTCTGAAACCGCTGCATCATTTGCTTTTGTCATGGGAATTCTCAGATGGAGTTGCAGAGATGTTGCACAGGGAGAAAATGTGACTTATGACATTAAAATGGTTTGATTTTGTTTTGTAAGGAGAAGGTGAAGAGACAGTTTGATAATTTATCTAGAATTAATTATACACTGAGGAGTAAGAAATGTTTTTTATGTATTTTACTGTATGAAAAATAAAATACATATTTTATTATGTATAAATATAAGCAAAAAAAGTGAAACAAGCCGACATTTTGAAACAAGGAGGTGTTATTGAAAAGTATCCGAAGCAGAGTTTTTTCTGAATTGTGTTTTTTTGGTTGTTTGTTGTTGTCATTTTGGGGTGTTGCTTTTGCTGGTTTAGGGTTTTTTTATGAACAGACACAGACAGGATTTATGCAATCAGATCACTGAGGCTGTGATAAATGTTTACAGCTGAAAAACAGTGAGTACCTGTGTGGCTCATGGTTGCTGGCTAGGGTTAAACCATGACAATGGTCTAGGCTTAGGAATATGCATGTGAGGTGCACATCTGTAGTGGTCACAGAATCACAGGTTGCCTCAGGTTGGGTTATGAACAGACACAGACAGGATTTATGCAATCAGATCACTGAGGCTGTGATAAATGTTTACAGCTGAAAAACAGTGAGTACCTGTGTGGCTCATGGTTGCTGGCTAGGGTTAAACCATGACAATGGTCTAGGCTTAGGAATATGCATGTGAGGTGCACATCTGTAGTGGTCACAGAATCACAGGTTGCCTCAGGTTGGGAGGGACCAGGACATCTGGTCACCTCCCTGCTCAAGCAGGGCCATCCCAGAGCACATGGCACAGGATTGTGTCCAGATGGTCCCTGAATATCTCCAGTGAGGGAGAATCCACGACCTCTCTGGGCAATCCGTTCCAGTGCTCAGTGACTGCACAGTGAAGAAGTTCTTCATCCTTTCTGAATGTAAAACACCTACACTGGATCTGCATGACTGGACTTAGCTAGCTCATACAGCCTACAGTCAGTCATTAGCCTTAAACTTGTTCCAGAGGGTGTTGCAGGTCCTGGGTCCTCCCACACTGTTCTTGTGCTGCAAGACTTGCCTATAAGTGAGCCATGATGCTTCCTCCTCTATACAAGTGTATCAGCAGTCTTGAAGGGGATTAAGTTTCTGGGATGATAATCTTCTCCTGTTATGGAATTAGCATGTTGTCTGGAAGCAGCAGAGAAACTGTCCTGGGATGCAAGAAATAAAAAGATCAAGTTACTGTGTAAAGACCGATCACTCATGTAAAATTAAACAGCTATCCAAATACAACCTCCCAGCCCATATATACATCCCAGAAATTATAGAAAAGATGGAGCCACATTTGGCTTTCTCCCTTGCTCCAAGACACACAGTGCCTTAGTATCCTGTAACCAAGTGAATGTTGTGGTAGATTGGCTATTTTGGGATGAATAAAAAAATATAGATTATTTTCCTGATCTTTGTGAGGTACTGGATCAGTGCTTTGGCTAAAAGACAACTTTGTAATCTGTAATTCTTTTGTGGAGTGTGGAAATCATTAAACTCCCTGTCCCCTTCTGTTAGTGAAAATGGACAGCAACTTTTTTGTCCACAAGCCAGGAAACATTAGCTGAAGATTCATGGGGCAAACTCTCACTCCATAAGCACAAATCTCTCCCACCTTCCAGTAACAAGAAGTTGTGAAGGAGATTTTAGCCAGAATTAGGATTTAACTGTTATTAACATGCAAGTAACTTCTTCCTGTAAAAGCCTTGGTTCAAGAAAGTACTTGACTATGCTCCAGTCTTTAAACATAGATGTTGTATACTGAACCCTCAGGCACTTAAAAACAGACTCTAATGCACTGCTGAGCCAGAGCTTTGAAGTGGAATATTCTTGAGGAAACAAATTCTCTGATGATGTGAATGCGCAGCATTCCAGACAACATCAAGTCAATAAAGCTGTGTGTACTTTATGTCTGTGGAGAGTAGGAAGACTGTTAAACAATTGGCTCTTCAACAGTTTGGGGGTTTTGAAAACTGTTTATACTTTTTTTTTTCTCCTCTAGTCATCCAAAGAACTGAATAAAAGGTATATTAAGTATGGGTTAAGCACACTGTAGTGAGTGCTCGGCCTAGCATGCTGGATGCTTCATTTGGTGTTTGTAAGCTTTGGGAACACATTGCTAATATTCAGAGCTACTTCTATAAACCTTGCAAATAATGACATTAATAGAAGATGTTTTACACTTGTTGCTGTAACTGACTTGTTTTGAAGTGTTTTGCACATGTTCTCTAATGGATTAATTAAACAAATAGCACGTTAAAACATCAGCTCTATTTTAAATCTCTGCACAGATATTTCTAAACAGATGTTCCTTGTAGTTATTATACACACACACACACACTAAAATACATTTCGACCATCCTTCCATCTCTTAGACATCACTGGTGTGTTCCTCTATTCACTAGTCTGGTTCTGTATCACTTGGTCTCTGAAAGGTTGCAATGCAAAGTGTCACTTAAATGTTGTTGGTCTGTACTTCTGAACACAATTCCAGTAGAAAAATGAGGTTAAGTAGCTTTAAAAACCTTACTAGGAGACTATGGGCTGATGTTTTCCCATGCCCCTCCATCAGCACTGCCTGATTCAGGGTGTGTCAGAGGGCTAATGCCTCATCACAGCTGCATCATGGTCACCTTGCACATACCAGTAAATACATGTGATCACGAACAGTTCTCTGCCATGTGGGAGTCATTTTGGTGAGACCCATCCTTTATGAGAATTGTTCAATTAACAAAGAATAGTAGAACTTCAGGGATTGGACTGGACCTTATAGC